AAATACTAAAAAAATACTTAACACAAACACACTATATATATATATATATATATATATATATATATATATATATAAAGTGAAATAATTAATAAATACTATAATAATATTACAACATTAAAATAATACTTGTCTGCACACAGATTATCTTTTCTCAGAAAAATGATTTTTTGATTAAGATGTAAACATCCTTTTTGTTAATTCATTATGTAGAGTATTTTGGTCACACTTTATTTGAAGGCGTCCTTGATACAACGTAAATGTACAATTAATTACTAAGTAATATTAATTAACGTACTTATTATAGGGTTAGAATTAGGTTTGATTTATGGTTAGTTTGTTTGCAATTATGCATAATATACTATTATTACTATAGTAAGTACATGCATGTGTAACAACGACACTGTAAAAAAAAAAAAAAGTGTTACCAACATTTTATCTGATGTTTTATCATTTTCACAAGTGTTCTGTCCTTCTTTAAAATTCATGTTTACAAAATGAATGTATACAAAATAGCTATTGGGGCCGCTGCAACACAGAACACGGCACACCGACTCCTTCCCTCTTATTTTTTCTCAGCATTTCTCTCATGCATCTGTTTACTCCATACATACAGGACTATGAACGGTGAAAGATTCCTCTTCCCAAGTGATCTCAGGATAAAAAGACTTGATGACATAACTCATCCAGTGACGCATGTAACTCCGGATTTCTGAATCTGCAGCCACGTCAACTGTTACCAGGAGAAGACCGGCCAACATCACTTATGTAGGTCGCATTAAAAACACATGCGGCATACGCAGATGCCAATTTTCAAAGACAGCCCCCTCTTAGAGCAGACTAGAATCTACTTCAGCAGAACTGAGCAGCTGTGATCATACTGAGGATTATTCGTGTTGACTCACGGAGCTAGTTATGAAAGAAGCCCAGTCGGATCAAACGCAAAGTTTCTTTCGTGACCTAAAGCAAAGGCCAACTAAAAAAAGTCTGATTTAAAAATAAATAAATAAATAAATACTGCACTTTTTCATGCTTTTCATCTATTGTGCTGAATATCCCATGATTCCATGTTAGAGCAAAGTTATGAGCAAAATATATTAATGAAAGGAGACCTGCACACTGCTTGTAGGCGGAGTTAATAAAATGATGCAAATTGCATTATAATTAACTCTAAAAAGTGGAGCATTACCCTTTTATGTAAACTGTACTTCAGGGATCTCGCATAACAATGCACTCAGTTACAAGCACTTTAGACATAGTGTGTACAGATGTTCAGTGGTCCAAAAGGGCTTCTATTTTTAATACATTTACATTTTTTAGGACAGCAATTGGAGTGAAAGATATGAATATGATAATGTCTTTTGTTTAAATGACAACCGGCCTTTTATACAAAGGCTTTTACATCGTCAGTGTCACAAATTTGCATACACTAGTGTTCAAAAGTTTGGAGTTAGTAAGATTTTATTTGATTTTTTTAAAGAAATTAATACTTTCATTCAGCGAGGATCCATTAAACTGATTAAAAGTGACAGAAAAAACATTCACAATGTTACAAGATTTCTATTTCGAATGAATGCTGTTCTTTTAAACTCTCTATTCCTCAAAGACTCCTTAAAGGGATAGTTCACCCAAAATGAAAATTCTGTCATTAATTACTCACCCTCATGTCGTTCCAAACCTGTAAGACCTTCGTTCATCTTCAGAACACAAATTAAGATATTTTTGATAAAATCCGAGAGCTTTTGCCCCTGCATAGACAGCAACGCAACTGAAATGTTCCCAGGCACAGAAACGTAGCAAGAACATCGGTAAAATAGTTCATGTCACATCAGGGGTTTGTAATTTTATGAAGCTACGAGAATACTTTTTGTGCACAAAGAAAACAAAAATAACGACTTTATTCAATACTTCTTCTTCTCCTCATCCCGTCTGCCGCAGCGCGCCATCATTGTGGAGAGTATCACGATGCATGCGTTCTGTCATCTGCATGTAAACGACGCATGCGCGTGCTGATGCATGTGTGTGTTTAACGTAAGCAACAGAACGTGCATGCATTGATACTCTTTCCACAATAGCGGCGTGCCGTGGCAGAAGGGATGAGGAGGAGAAGAATGGTTGAATAAAGTAATTATTGTTGTTTTTGAGCAAAAAAAGTATTCTCGTAGCTGCATAAAATTTCGGTTGAACCCCTGATGTCACATGGACTATTTTACCAATGTCCTTGCTACATTTCTGGACCTGGGAACATTGCAGTTGCGTTGCTGTCTATGGAGGATCAGAAAGCTCATGGATTTCATCAAAATATCTACATTTGTGTTCTGAAGATGAACAAAGGTCTTACGGGTTTAGAACGACATGAGGGTGAGTAATTAATGACCGAATATTCATTTTTGATTGAACTATTCCTTTAACAACAGATGTTTTCACACAAATATTAAGCAGTACAACTGTTTTCAACATTAATACTATAAGAAATGTATCTTGAGCAGCAAATCAGCATATTAGAATGATTTCTGAAGGATTATTTGACACTGAAGACTGGAGTAATGCCTGCTGAAAATTCAGCTTTGCATCAAAGGAATAAATTACATTTTAGAATATATTCAAAAAGAAAACATATTTTAAGTGGTAAAAATATAAAAAAATGTTTTTATTATTTTAAAAACATTTTCAATTTGGACAGATTTTCAGACCCCACTGTACACTTAAGTCTGCATTTATTAATCTGAATGTATAGTATTTGTGCTTCAGTAACTTACTGTCGGCGGGTCGGCAGGGGTCACTCCAAGTGCTGTCAGTCGAGTGATTACTGGACACAGAGGAGACGCTAGAGCTCCGAACAAACCCAAAGGCGGCCAGACGAGCCGGCGGGAGGCGCGAGTAACCGGGAGGACGCAGGCCAGACTGAGCTGGCTTCGGCAGGAGGGATTTAGCAGCTAACCCAGTCACCACTGGCTTTCTCTGATCTGAGGTGAAGAAAACTATGATTAGTACTCAAACTAACTCAAAAAACACAATTTGTAAAATAGAGCTTTGGGAAATAAAAGTCACATACTGCTTTTCTAGTATATGTCAATATGAAGGTCAACTATGCATAACATACTCTTGTAATACTGCTGTGACAAAATGAGGCATACATGATCACATGACAACATTCAGTTGAGAAACAGATGGAACACAAGGAACAAAGAAAGTGAGTGTTGTGTCCCGAAATGACCTATTTCGAAGCAGACTAGCCTAAAAGAGACTCACAGTAGGATAGAAAGAGAGAAAACTGTAGTGTTTTACGACCTCTCTCTGGTGCGAGGTAAAGATCACTTTAAAAAGCTCCTGAAAAAATCATAAAGAGGTGCTCTGACCACAGCATGTCATGGCCATTCATCAACATCTATACCACTGCAGTATTCACATGGAGAAGAGCGATGAGTTACATTTCTCATCCACTTAGGGAGTCTAATTTAATGCAAAACGTTTGCCAAAACATATCATCTTAGTTGGCTCATAAAATCCTTATATGAGCTCAAAAAAGTGTTAATATAAAACTGAACAGAGTAATAATTTAAGAAAAAAGTAATATTTATATATATATATATATATATATATATATATTAAAATGTAATTTATTAATTTAATTAACCTTTTTTCCCCATAAAAAGAGCCATTTCAGTGTCTGGTGCTTAACATGAGTTTACTGTCTCTTGCAAAAGCTCTTTCTTTTTTAATTAGTCCAGAAGGACAATCGTTTAAGAGGCCATTGGTTCCTCTAAAACCAGCTCTGCACAAATTATTAAGATATCAGTGCTTAATAAAGGCCTCAACTGAATAGAGTAATGGATTTTCCTTACCCCATGTGCTTTTTATTACACCAGTGAACATGATAAAAGCTGTTTACATACAATTAATAAGGATTAATATGAATATCTGTTGTCTTTTGCTTTCCCTATCAGTTCTTTGCACTGTAGGTCTTCATCTGTAACGCTGGCAGCACAGGGACTGCTGTCGAATCAAAAAATTATGATTTGGAAAAGCACAGGAAGAAAACTATACATAAATATGCACATGCAAAGAGCTACCGCGGGGTGAATTTAGGGACCCACTTCAAGGCTTGCTTTGAACTCCCAAACTCCCCCAACCCAAGGTCGTAATTTGGGGCAGGTGGAGAGAATGCTCCCCTCCTGCTCTTAGAGATAAAGCACCTTGACTTTATGTCCCTGTGATTTCAGCAAAGCGTAGCGCATACTAAATGACAATCTATGATTTCTCATTTCGTCTGTCGCATTCTCAGATGTTTATTAGACTGCAATGTCAGCAGCTTCGTATACACATTCTTCACAAATGAAAATGCACACATACACACTCAAGCAAATGCACATAACAAAGCACCCTCTCATCCATTCATCTCTAATCAAAGTTGCCCCGGCTCCATCACTTCCCCCAGCGACCCCCACCCCAACCCCAGGCCATCAAGGTCTTTAATGAAATTGCATGCAGCTTCTCCATGTGAGGGTGATCATTAAAGATAAATGTGTTGCTGTTCTCACTCTCCGATTTTTTCTCCATCAATCATCTTTATTCCTTCCTGTTCCTACTACCCCATATTTCCAGACTTGCCCGGATCACACAAAATAATCATCCATCATGGCTTTGATTTAGCATTTTCAGTGTTTGTTTATTTATTTTTCCTACAATGAAAGTGAATGGTGACCAAAGCTGTTCCCACTCACTTTTACTGTACGGAAAACAGAAGCTTGTACATTCTGCTAAACAGAAATTGACTAGGGCTGGGCAAAAAAAAGAAGAAGATTTTCCGATTAATCGTTTTTTTTAAATGACGTCGATTCGATATCGATTCTCTTGGAAATCGATCTTTTCCAGTATTTATTTCAGCACACATTTAAAGGGGTCATATGATGCTTTTTTAAAGATCATTATTTTGTGTATCTGGTGTAACAGAATATGTTGACATGCTTTAATGTTCAAAAAACACATTCTTTTTCAAATACTGTACATTATTGTAGGTCCTCTATGCCCCGCCTCTCTCAAACGCTTTGTTTTCTACAAAGTCCCTCCTTCCGACAAGCGCAGTCTGCTCTGATTGGCCAGCTGACCCAGTGCATTGTGATTGGCCGAACACCGCAAGCACTCGTCGGAAATGTAACGCCCTTACCATAATCGCGAGCTTCATCTTTCAAAATAAATGTAAAGACAGAGCCCGAAAGGGGAACAGAGTCGCGTGACAGACACAGTGATGAAGCTGGTCTCTCTAGCTCTCTCTCTCTCTCTCACACACACACACACGTGCGCGCACACGCACACACACACACACACACACACACACACTTTGGATGGGATAAATGCAGAACACTAATTCAGAGTATGGGTCACTTAATTTCTTTTTATTAATTCACCATTTGTAAATTGATGTTTACTGTTAATTTTTTTGAAATATCAATAGTATTTGTATTAAAACTATATTAATACACTGAACGTAATAAAAAAAAATCGAGAATCAAATCGAATCGAATCGAGAGCTTGCGTATTGAAATCGAAGCGGGACATCTGAATCGATACCCAGCCCTAAAATTGACAATTTTAATTTTTGCGTGAACTATCCCTTTAACACCAAAGGGGTGTAATTTTCCCAATCTGGAAATAAATAAGAAGTGTGTGTGTGTGTGTGTTTGTATGCAAATGTATTATTATGGCTTGCAGCTCAAGAACTATGATTTCTTAGTGTTAAAATGCATGAATACATTACTAGAGCACTTTCAACAAGCCCTCACTTAAACAATGATAAACCACATCAATGAAAAATTAAATACTACTAAACTATATGTCATGTTGATAAAAACACGAACATGCATTGTACAAAGAAAAAAGATGGTAGTCTACTGGTCTGTTTACCTCTGATTTTAGTGATTGCTATCTAAAGACATAACAAAGCCTAATTAGCAATCGGTGATCCTTTAATATTGTTCTTCAGTTTATTGTACTTCACTGCATTAGACAACTTTCAAGAAGATTTTGATTATATACAGTGTTTAAAAGTAGCCCAGTGGCCAGAATCAAATCTTTTCATTGTTTGAGGGTGTGAATAAATAATGTAGCATGAGATGATAACTACAGTGGAAAATGATTTTCTTTAGCAAGACAAGCAAGAGTCTAGTCACACCAGGCGAGGTTAACCTTCCTCTTGACTTCTTTTATATTGCTGCAGGAGTAAAACTCAAGCCTACGCTCTAGACTGTCTCTTTATCTTTTGTAGCATAAGCATCTTTACACCATAAAAATCATATCATGTCTCAACTACAGTTAATAATTTTGATCAGGCATAGTTATTGGCATGAATTAACTGTTAATTGCTTTGCACTTCAAAGCATCACAAACAGAGCCAAACAGCAAGAAATAGGCATTTGCATGAATTGATGGAGACTGTCATGGGTTTTCAGTGAGATAACAATATGCAGATAGACAGATGCCCTCTAGAAAAAACACGGAGGGTGATGGCAATGCTGGTAGTGGATTTAAGATGAAATAATTCATATCTTCACCTTGGCAGGCAAAGTTGTCGGAAATGAAGTGTGCTTTAGAAATGGAGAGGAACTGTTAAGCTCAGACAGAACTCCCTCATGGCACAAGATGAATGTGAATTTTATTTATATTCAACTGAATGCCAGGAGGTAAAATGTATTTTACACTGACTAGCGGCTGGGATGAGTTTATCTGTAACAATTACAAATGCATAGCTGACAGGGATGAAAATACTTCATATGACATTCTCTTCCTTTCTTCCATTTAAATCTATTCATCTCAAAATACTCCAGAGTCACTTCTGCCCTTAGGATCTAACAGATTCTAAGACTGCTCTGGCTTGGGTTTCCATTCAACTTGCCCCAGTGTAGCATGTGAAGCATTCAATTTTACATGACAGTCATAAACAAGACCATTTGACTCATTCTGCCATGCAAAGTGAACCATTGATCTTACCTTGAGGTTCCTGAGGGGTTTGAGTGGTCGGGTTTACTGCCTGCATTGGTTGACTGAGGGTCAGTGGTGACTTCGGCTGGCCTGTTAGGACCATCCTGTTCTTGGCAGTTGCAAAGGGAGTCCTGTTTACAGCACCAATGCCAAGCTGGGGTCTTAGGCCTCGTGGTGGACGATACAGACTCCCCATATCCTGTGCTCCCATAGGGGGTCCAGAAGGGTCCTCGGCTCCAGAAACTGGAGACCCAAGGGCTAATGGAGATCTGCCCGCCTAAATTGACAAAGAACATTAAGCTGCAGTCAATAAACTCTTCCAGTAGTTCATAAACTTGTCTACTGAAGATAACAAGTGTTAAATTTTTAAAGCTTACTAAAATATTGACATTCCCTCCATAAGGCATTCAGGGAGTAGTCTGTTAATACTCCAAAACACGCACACACTGTTACATTACAAAGCACTTGGTTTCACCAATGTAAATAATATAATAGAGTTTACATGTAATTAGGTTTACCAAGAAATAGACATAAAAGCATTTAAACAGAGAACAGCATATTGTCTAGAGCATTCCTTACTGCTGCAGACAGAGGCTTGTTGAGAGAACCATAGAAGCTGTCTGCTCTGCCTGTCATTTTATGGGGCATGGTGTTGCTGGGTGGCTTAATCCCAGACATCATGAGTCCAGGCGAGAAGAACCGGACCTTCTGCATCTCTTGACGATACTTATCATAGAGTAAATTTGAGGCACTCAGCACAGTGGCTTCCCCTTGATCTTCGACCGCTGGTTTGGCCTGTGTGCTGCTGTATGTTGAGAGTCTCGTAGCTAAGGACGACACCTCGTAAGTTCCCTCAAAAGACTGGGGTTTCACCTGGGGAGTCTTCCGAATGTACGTAATGATTTTGGGCCGGACACTTTTCGGTTTTGGCAGGCACTTGCTTGGAGGGGAGGTCTCCAATAATGCCTGCTGTGGATGAGTTTTATGGATGCTTGTGTTGATTGTGGTTTTAACTGGGGTTCTTAAGCCCGAGCTAAACCCAGCATAACCCAACTGAGGACCTCGAGAAGGTAATGTCTTGATGGGTGAGGAAGGAGGCTGTCTTTGAGGAGACCTTGTGGTCTTGGGGGATGGAGGTGTCAAAGGTCTAGTCGGACTGCTGTAGGCTCGCCTGCTGAAGTGAGTCTTTCTTTCTAGGCTGGAGGGACTTACAGCACGATCTGCTGAACTTTGCCTCTTCAAGCATTGGGCTTCTCGTGTAAAAGCCTGGTTGGGAGGTGTCTGTGAGTCTGCGTTGGGATTGCTGTAGACTTCAGTAGTAGGCAGCACTTGTGGATGGCTCTGACCTTTCTCTGAGGAGTGGGATTGTTGCTGGTCTGCCTGGGTGTCTATGCTGGGGTATCCTGAGGTTAGTCGTTTTTCAGTAGAAAGAGGGCGGACTAGCTGCCTACAAGAAGGTAGCACCCTCAACATACCTTTCGGCACCTCGGTTGACATCCTTTTCCCAGCATTCTGCTCTGCTTCCATTTGGAATTTTTGCAGTTTTACTGCTCCATAAGAAGGATGCATTAGCTTACTTCGGTCATATTGTGGTTCCTGAGGCAGTGTGGTAGAGTTATGGTTTTGGTCCAAATCACTGAGAAGCTCCCTGTTTCTCTCTGAGTGGATGTAGGACTCGGTAGTAGCTGGATGCTGGTTCCTGCCTTTGTCTGAGGTAGACTTGGTGGACTGGGAAGAGAGAGGCTGTGTGCGGCCTGCACTGTCCAGGGCACTTGCTAAACTTCCACTGAGGCTGGTCACTGCAGAAAGAGAAGATGAAAAGACATTGCCCTCAGAACCACTTCGCGCATCTCTCAGGGTTCGGTTCGCACCACAGCGAGAGCTGGAGGTCCTGAGGTCAAGGGGCTGAGAGTTCTCATTTGCATCTCCATCCACATTATGGTTTTCATTGTGGTCTTTCCAAGGGGAGCCAATAGTGGTGCTGATGGCTGTAGATGAAAACTCTTTTTCACTGAAGTTCTTTGCTCCCTTTCTGCTTCTTTCACTCTGCATGTCTACCTGTTCTTCTTCTTCCACTACAAATGTTTCTAGCTCTTGACATTCCAGCAGTTCAAACTCTTCAAGCTCAGGGTCTTCACACCGAGCATGTGTTCCCCAGATAATGATCCTCTCCTGGGCTTCGGAGTGCGACACCAGAGTGGGTAGTTGGCTGCCATGCTCTCTGTCATCTGAATAAATTTTCTCTTTGGTGATTTGATTGGCATTGGCATCTTCCACGGTTTCTATCAAAGACTGCTTGTCGTCTTTCTGTATTTCTTCTTGTTGGTTGACTTCACCGACTTGTATCTTTCCTTGCACATTCATGTTGTACAAGTCTGAGCTTCCCTCTCAAAAGCTCCACGATAATCCTGGATCCATCAAAGGTATTGTTCTCTCACTTGCCTGTACCTAGGCTTTCAAAGTTTACAGTTTGGATGGAGTGCAGAATCACAACTTAATCTCACATTATTTCCATTTCTATTCCAAGATACCGCCAAAGAACTGAGCTGTATTTGTTTGTTTCTTAACAGGGAAATGCACTTGATGACATCACATCAGCCTTGATGACCTTGAAATGCCTTGTTCATTCATCTGGTGCCAAACCTGCACAGAAAATAAGACATTACATGTTGTAAGCAGTGCAGAGTGTGCTTCAGCAAAAACTATCCCACATGGGTTGTTTAATTTCCATCACAAGATTTGCATTTATTTAGATGAGTTTTTAAATTCTCAGCCTTTGGGGTAAAAATGCACAGTTTATTTTCTCACTTTTCCTGACTAAAGCAAAACATCATTCTCGTTTTATTGAAGGTAAGGAACAAGATTTAAAATTCTCTTGTATGGCTGTTTGCTGTTTCATTGCAGTTTTCAATGAATATAAAACAGCTTAAAGGCACGCACGACTTCGGTAAACAAAGTAAAAAGATGTGCATTTACATTTATACCTTTTCTTGACAGAGCAATGCATAAAACGGATTTGACTCAACTAAAAGGTACAAATGCTGGAGACAAGAAAAAAGATTATTGCATATTTGGCAACATTTTCAATAAGTCAGAACTTATGGCTCCTCAACAAATGAATGGTCTCAGTGGACTATTTACTCATGTTTCTTCACATATTTCATGGCATCCTCTGTTAAAACCTCAATTTAGTGCCCAGTTTGGACTGACAAATTCACTATGGCAAATTTATATACAAACCCAATTCCAAAAAAGTTGGGACACTAATTGTGAGTAAAAAAGGAATGGAATAATTTACAAATCTCATAAACTTATATTTTATTCACAATAGAATATAGATAACATATCAAATGTTGAAAGTGAGACATTTTGAAATGTCATGCCAAATATTGGCTCATTTTGGATTTCATGAGAGATACACATTCCAAAAAAGTTGGGACAGGTAGCAATAAGAGGCCGGAAAAGTTAAATGTACATATAAGGAACAGCTGGAGGACCAATTTGCAACTTATTAGGTCAATTGGCAACATGATTGGGTATAAAAAGAGCCTCTCAAGAGTGGCAGTGTCTCTCAGAAGTCAAGATGGGCAGAGGATCACCAATTCCCCCAATGCTGCGGCGAAAAATAGTGGAGCAATATCAGAAAGGAGTTTCTCAGAGAAAATTTGCAAAGAATTTGAAGTTATCATCATCTACAGTGCATAATATCATCAAAAGATTCTGAGAATCTGGAACAATCTCTGTGCGTAAGAGTCAAGGCCGGAAAACCATACTGGATGCCCGTGATCTTCGGGCCCTTAGACGGCACTGCATCACATACAGGAACGCTACTGTAATGGAAATCACAACATGGGCTCAGGAATACTTCAAGAAAACATTGTCGGT